AGATAAAAGCACAGTTAGCAAGATAAGGACAGTTAGCAGGAAGCCTGCCACGGCCATGCGGTTTGCAAGCAATATAAGTGTCTGTGTTTACTTGGTTGGGTCTGAGCGGCTGTGGGACTGGCGGGTGACAGAGATTTGTCCTGACTGTGGGCGAGGCGGAAAAATCAAGCTACACAGCTGGAGGAGCCAGGAAGTGTCTGCGCAGGGGACTCACTCCAGGAGGGGTATGGTGGCGGCCTGGGAGTCCGGGATTGAGCCCGGAAGGAGTTGTTGAGAACTGAGTGGAGCATCCGGACCTCCTCTCCGCTGATTGACTCATAGCAAGAGCTTAGGTAGAAACCAAACAAGGAACCGCTGGTCTTAATCTGGGCTCATCACATGCCAGGCATAGGTTGTCTACACTGTTTTATCCAAGACCCACCTGCTGACTGGGTTGGACACTTCTTTAGTCATGACCAACTGAAAATTCAGAGTGTGGTTGTGTTGATGAGTTGTCTTCAGTCAATAGGACCCATCTCCAAGATCTGAAGTTTATGAGGAAGAAAGGAGGAAGGCTCCCACAGAGCCCTTAACCTCGTCACTGCTAAGAGCACTTAGCAATTAGCTGGCTGCTTCTGGTTGGGAACGTTTTCCTCTCTCCCTAGCTGCAGGTGCGCGCTCCCGGAGAGTCCCAGCAACCGTACTTTACAGTACTGGAAGGACCGCAACATCATGACTGCAGACGTGAACTGGGCGAACCTGACTGTCAGTGTAAGTGTGGGGCGTGGCCAGAGCCCTCCGTTGTGACCACTGGGGCTACAGAGGACTTCTAGATGGGGGTAGAGTGGCCCTTTGCCGGACCCTGGCATTTAAGCTTGAGTTGGATGTAGTGGCACACACCTGTAATCCTAGCCCTTGGGGGCCCGAGGTGGGAACATTTCCTAAGTTTAAGGCTGTCCAGGGTTGACGGAAGAGACCCATCGGGGGCTTGAAAAGGGCCACTTTGATCATGCAAGCCGTGACTGTGTGGCCTGTTACCGATTAGCTCTGTTTTATCATATTGATACACTTACCATTTCTTTGCCTTTATCATGCTAAAATTGCTACATTTTATTGATTTATTGATCTCTGTATCGCCCTTAGTGGCAACAGTTAGCTGATACACATTTCTGGAAGATGAACTCAAGAATCACCTTCTTTTGTTTATTTTTGAAAACTGCCTTAGAATTTGTATGAGTTTATAAGTTATAGGAAACACTGGTATATTTTTGTGATGGTGTCTCACCTGCAGTAACGGGGGCTTCCCTGAGATCCTTCAGATGACTGCCAGGCTCTGAAGTGCCGCAGTTCCCATCATGTGCCCGTTTCTGTCAGAGTCTCTCCACAGCGCTTAGAGAATCTGCCACTGATGGCAGTGATCACTTTATTGCATTCCGTTGTTTTATATGAACATGATAGCTGATTTTCACTTTAAAAAAAACCTCACAAAAATGAATGTAAGAGTAAACACAAACGCTTAATCAAACCTAAATATTTCTAACTTTTCTTTTCCCTTTCTGAAATCCTCTCATACTTTCAGGGAAAGGAAAGCTGCTCCTTTCCTTTCTCCCACATGCCCCGTCCTGTGACTTGGGGACATGTGAGCATAAGATTATGTGGGGACAGTGACAGATCCAGGCTTTGTGGAGCTTGAAGAATATTCAACTTTCAAAGGGTCTCTATATTACAAATAATATCATCCTCTAAGTTCTTCGCAGAGCCTCAGAAGAAGTGTTTGTTTTGGATAGTTCTAACCTCATGCCTAAGTGTATTGGTTAGGACCACCAGTGTTCCTGACAGGGACCTGCTAGCTGCATGGTGGTCAAGTGGGTAGTGCTGGAGGCCTGTGCTTCCCGCAACCGTGGGATGGCAGTGCGTGGTGACCTCAGGAAGCAGCTGATTGTTCCCGTGTGCCCGCCTTTTGTAACCCAGAATTATTGTTCCTCCAGGAATGCCAGTACATGCATGGAGAGTTCATAGGATCGTCGTGTGGTCATCATGGACCCTACACTCCCGACGTGCTCTTCTGGTCCTGCATCCTCTTCTTCACCACCTTCATCCTCTCCAGCACCTTAAAGACATTTAAGACGAGCCGCTATTTCCCGACCAGAGTAGGTAGCTGCTCCTATGTTACTTTTGTGTTAGGATTCTGCTGTAGAGATTGGCTCCATGAAGGGCCCCAGCTGTCCTGAGGAGCTGCATGGTGGCAGGCGTCTTGGCAGCCTCTTTCTCAGCTCCATGGTATGGAATGAGGATGCTTAAAACCTTTTTGATTGAAAAGGGCCAGGTAAGTTGAAGGTGGTGGTGATGTCCTCTGAAGGTTGCGTCTCTCCAGAATGCTGTTGAAGTTCGTGTCTGGGATTCTGAGAGACTTGGGATGTAAGACTAGAGCAGACTTGCTGGAGAGGTTGGCTTATGTGCTTTAAAGGACCCCAAAGCCCCTTCCAAGGCATGGTTCCCGCCATAGATTACGAACTCCCTGGCTGCAGGAACCAGTCTGTCCCTGGCTTGGATTCCTTTCCTGACCATCTGAAGCCTCAAGAGCTATTGTTTATGTCATGATCAGGGTCTCTGCCAGTTCAGACAGCAGAATTAGAAGCCTGAGTTTGAGCAGCTGTGTGGGCCATGGCTTCTGTGAGGTCTCTCCTTCAGGCAAATCCACACACCAGACTACTTGAATTTATGGGTGGAGGGCTCGGTTGGTTACTTACCATCTACATATCCATAGCTGAAATCCATCCCTAGACCTTAGTGAGTCCGCAGCGTGGCTGAGGGAAGCAGATAATAAATGAGCTCATGTCCGTTTCCTGTCCAGACAAATAGTTAACAAGTGGCTGCTACACAGTGACCAGTGGCTCACGCCTGGGTGAGTGCCGTGGGGGACACAGAGTTAAAGACATCTGCAGGGCCAGGGAGGCGCTCAGTGGGTAAAGACTCCGCTGCCAAGCCTGATGACCTGAGTTCGATCCCTGGGACCCACACGGTGGAGAGAACAACTTCTGTCTCCGTGTGCGTCATGGTGTGTGTACATATACACAGAATGAATAAGCAAATAAAGACTTTTAAAAGTAATTCAAAAGTAGTGTCATCCAGTAGATATGAAGGGAAAGTCCAGGGGGCAGTTGGTCTCATCTACCTGGAAAGTCAGTGCCGTAGGAATTCAGAGGAAGAAGGAAGATGTGGTCCTGGGGGGTTCAGGGTTGTTTCATGGTGCAGGTGTGGGGATGAGTCTTCAGAGACTCCGTGGAACAGTCAGGGATTAACAAAACCCTGGAGAGGGTGCTGCTAGTCTGAGACATCAAAGCAAAGTTAGCAGGGATGCTGTGGGCGGCCAGGATGTCTTTACCTCCTCCCCGTGGGAGGCTGAGACCAGGGTGCTCGTCCCTATCTTTTATTAAAACTCTCCTAAGCTCTAAAATGGGGTGATTGTAGATGTAACCAACCATCTTATTAAATAAGAAACACAGAACCAATGCAAAGAAGAAAGCCAAGAGGTCAGCACATCCTTAAAGTATATAGGCTGATTTATTTCTGTAGTTTTTTCTATTATCCAATGTCTCTCTGCAGCTGTTGTTCCTTTCTCATTAGCATTGAGAAAATTCAAAGTTAATAGAGCATTATGTAGTCTGTTTCTGGGGGTTTTTGTTACCCCTTTCTGTTTATTTAGCATGTCCTTTAGAGTTCTGTTTGATCTTTCTATAACTGCTTGACCTGTAGGATTATGTGGTATACCTGTAATATGCTTTATATTGTAATAAGCAAAAAACTGTTTCATTTTAACAGAGACATATGATGGAGCATTGTCAGTTTTGATTTGTGCAGGTATACCCATGATGGCCATAACTTCGAGCAAATGAGTGATTACAGAATCAGCTTTTTCAGAACTCAAAGCAGTTGCCCATTGAAATCCTGAATAAGTATCAATGGTATGGTGTACATATTTTCAGTTTTCCAAATTCTGCAAAGTGAAACACGTCCATCTGACAGATTTCATTCCTTTGAGTACCCTTTGGGTTACATCCTGCTGGTAATGGCGTTTGATTGTAGAAGGAACAAGTAGGACATTTCTTTACTATTTCTTTGGATTGTTGCCAGGTTATGGAAAAATCCTTTTTTAAGCCTTTACTATTGACATGATGTTTTTTTATGAAATTCTGAGGCCTCCAGCACATTTCCTATCAATAATTTATCAACCTCATCATTGCCTTGTGCTAGAGGCCTTAAAAGTTCTTATTAATAAAATAAAACCTGAGCCAGGTATTGGGGTGAACTGAAAGATCAGAGAACCAGAGCAAGCCACAGATGGTCCTCTTGGGACAGGCCTTAAAATGGATAGCATAAGATACATAAGCACATGTATACATATACACACACCACATACACATGCACACACACACACATGCACACATAAGCACATGTATGCATATACACACACCACATACACATGCACACACACACACAAAGCACACACACCACACACACATAAATGCACACATACCACACACATGCACACACAAAGCACACACACATGTACACACACAATACACAAGCTACACACTACACACACACACACACGCACACACACAGGAAATAAGCACTATTAAAAAAATGCAGCAGGAAAGAGGTGCTGGGGGCAGTGGCGGTTTCAGTAGGACCGTGGGGTGTCAGCAGTGCTGAGGGGGCTCGTCCTGCATGGCCCCTAGCGTGAGGAGTTTCAGTTAAAGCCAGTCCTTGGCTACACCACAGAAAGAATTTCAGACAAGCCGGAGTGAAGAAGATCGGAGAGTTTACGTAATGTGTTTAGACAGGGTCATGTAGGGAAAGGACATACACACTGAAGACATGCAGAGTCACACTTCGGGACTTTTAGAGGTGTATGTATGATTTTGTGTTTTTCTAATTACTATGTGCTGAGTACTAATTCTAGTTACTAATACTAAGTACCATTCTAGTTACTATGCTCACAGGATGTCACTTACAGCAAGGTTTGAGGACTGAACTTAGAAATTAAGTAAGAACGCATTCTGTCTCTGGGAGCTGGCTTCATCAGCAGCATGCTGGCCTTGCAAACACGAGGCAGCGGTGGGAAAAATCACAAACCCAGGGAAGAAGTCCTGGTGTCACGGCACACACGTGTGATTCTAATTGTAGGGAGGGAGACTGGTCTCTGGGACTTGCTGGCTGCCACTCTGGCCTCATTGGTGAGCTCCAGGCTCCCTGTCTCAGAGGAGATGATGGTGTTCCTAAAGATGGTACCCAAAGGTGACCTCTGGTTCTCCACACACATGTGCACATATATGCATGTGTGCCCACACATGTTGAGTTCATAAACAAACAGAACAACCAACAAGCTGGTTTACTTAAAAACCCTCTGAAAGAAAGTAGTTTTCCTTTTGTCTAAGATTGTGCGGTCGTCCTGACGTGTGCTGATGGCCGCATTCAAGGCCTGAGTAAGGACCGTCTTGTCTCCACGTCTTCAGGAAGACAAGCACCGTGCAGGCAGATCCAGAGTGGGCGCCCTGTCCCTTCCCAGTCCCCTTAGAGTCCCTGTCTTTTTGTCCTGTCTCAAGAAAATCTCAGAAAGAAGGTCATGTTTGAGTTAAGCTTCAGGGGCCTTGGGGAGTTCCCAGAGGTCACTTGACATAAACAGAGGGCGGGGGGTGAGCAGTACAGAGACCCTGAGCTGGGGAGAGCCGGGCTGGCAGAGCATGGGAGAGTCACACTCAAGGAGAGCAGGGCAGGGAGCCCGTGTGGCTGGAGCAGCGTGAACAGGTGGGACAGCGCTGGAGGCTCCGTGCACCTCACGGGGAGAAGAGGGTTTGGGGTTTTGAACTTGGTGAAGCAAGGAGGCCTCTTGGGGTTTGGGCAAAAGGACATGATTCAACCTGGCTTTTAGGTTATTACTCCAGAGTTTTTGTTTCCAGAACACTGGAGGGCAAAGGTGACCCCAGTGAGAGATGGCAGTGACTGTGGCTGAGGGTGGGCACCTCTGAGGTGACCAGTCATGCTCAGGTTCTGGGTATGTTCCGAATGGCGGCTGATGGGCCTGTGGATGGATCGGATTCAGGACGTGGGAAGGGCGTGAAGGTGCTGCTGCTGAGATGTGGGCTAGCACAGACGACCTCGGCTGGACCCCGATCTGAACCTGAGCCTGTTCACCCCAAACTCTGCTCTTTGGAGACTGGTCTTGACTGTGTTAGACTTGGTCAGAGGTTTGTTGTTCCATATTAGACGCACACATGTGGGCATTACTTTGAGTAGACTAAAGGAGTCTTGTCTGAATGGTTTTGTATTAGTTCAGCTGCAAAGTGTTTTTCTGGGAAACCGTAGCTCTTTCAGGTCGTAGCATCTCTGCTGTGGTAACTGCTCTGGTTCTCTCTTGTGCTAGGTCCGCTCCATGGTCAGCGACTTCGCGGTCTTCCTCACCATTTTCACAATGGTGATCGTTGACTTCTTGATTGGGGTTCCGTCCCCAAAGCTTCAGGTTCCCAGCGTGTTCAAGGTAAGTAGTCTCGGGAGCCTGATGCCTGAGTGTAGGCTGATCTGAAGTGGGTCTCAGAGGTTCAGGAAGCAAAACGTATTGTGTGTTATTATGAATACGCGCCCTGCTAAGCTCTAGGGGATGGAAAGTGCCCATTTACATAAAGATGTGCTGGTGTGGAGAGGTGGGCCCGGGAACACACTTGGGTGACGTCACCTTCACAGAGCTGCAGCTGTAAGGAACTGGGAAGAAGTAGAAATGACCTAAGACCTAACAAGTCATCTGGACATCTCTTCAACCATAATTTATGTTCAGTTATTTGTAATCCATAGTAGTTTAAAAACTTACTTGTAGACTGAAATAATGATCAATCATTGGGATCCCAAATCTATCTTAGTGCGATAAGTAGATAAGACAGGAGAGCTGAGCTTAGTTCCACAGACCCTCGTGGGTGGAGAGGTCAGAAAGCCTGGGTATGCTCAGCTCCTTCAGAAGACGCCAGAATAGGAGGGGCTGAGGATGGCTGAGGACAGACAGTATAGAGGCGGTCCTTGGTGCTCCATGGTGCACGCCTTTAAACCCAGCACTCAGGAGGCAGAGGCAGGCAGATCTCTGTGAATCTGTAGGCCAGCCTGGTCTACTGAGCGAGTTCCAGGCCAGGCAGGGATGCTCCATGGTGCGTGACTCTGCTGTCTTTCTCTCTGTCTTTACAACGGTTGTAAGGAGACACACTATCTCTCTCCCTCTGTTTTGTCTGTTTAATTTTGTTAAACTTGCTAAAATGCTGAATGGGTTGAAAAACACCCTCCATAAGTGTAATACCTCCCAGAGCACGGTGTTCTTATCCCTGTATGACCAGACACCATCAGCTTTCTCTCTAATTCCTAGCTGGCTGCAGGACAAATGGGTTTGTATAAAAAATGGCAAATTTGGAGCATTAAGCAGTCTGGGAAAGTTCCACGATGCACTGACTTAAGACCTGAGTTGATTTCTGGGACCTCTGGGAGGCAGGGGAAGACAGGGAAATAGAAGACCAAGGAAACAAGGCCGGTGCAGACCGCCCAGGAAGCAGAGCAAACCGTCTCCTGCCTTCTCTCCTTAACCAGCCAGTCCCAGCCCCCAGGCCAGGCTGAAGACTGGCGTAATCACTTCTTATCCATTGGGGATTAGTTCCAGGACCCAGGGTACAGATCTCCATTCCACAAGGGAAATGCTGTGTTTACGTACAAACTGTGCGCAAGCTCCTTTGTACTTAAACCATCTTAGACCGATTTTATCTACAGCAGTGTAAGTGGTGTTATCCTGTAGTATTTAGAGACCAGTGACACGCATCTGAATGTGTCTAGCATGGCGGCATCTCCTCAGCATCTTTAATCTGTGTTTGATTGAGTCTGCAGGTGTAGAATGAACCAATAGATTTAGCAGGCCTGGCTGTGTGATTACTTATGATATCGGTAATGCGTTGATAAGTTTCTGTGTTGGTCTGAGAACGTAACTGCTACCTAAGACTGCATAGTCTCTAAACATAGGTTCTAAAGCTTTTAGAATTTACTTAGCCCATTCAAAATCCAGGACTTGCCAGTGTTACTGAGGAGTTCTTTAACCCAAGTGCCGTCGTGTCTAATGTAGCAACCAAGTGCTTCCGGTTCAGCAGTCCCCCTTACTTGCTGTGCTCGGGGGTCGTTCTGGGTGATAGCCTTTTGTCCTCCAGCACTGTCTGTCTTTCCTTGGAGTGCACCAAGGGTGAGTGAGGTTGAGAGTCTGAACAAATGGCTTATAAAGCCATTGAAGAGGGTCCTGGGTCAGACATCCCCAAGCTGTGGGACTCCTAAGTCTCCAGTACTGGGCTCCTGTTTCACCACTGATGAGGGTGCAAGGACACTCTACTCTCAGCCCAAGAATCTGAATAAACATGGGTCCAGTTGGCTTTTATTTGTACTTCAGACATAGTCCATGGCTCCTGCGAGGAGGTAAGGGTCATCTGTTTTACGTACTTTGTCGTGGGAAGTCAGTTTTTTTAACAACAGATTTAGTTACTGATATATTTACTTGGGCTGATTGTGAGATAAAGCTGCTTTCTCTACACTTGGGGAGTAAATAGAGGATTAATGAATATTCCACAGGAAGCTGATAAGTGACGACTGACCACTAAGGGGGATTTGGAAAAAAAGGCCAGAGATTTCCTTAGGGGTTGCTGTATTTCATGTTTTGTTTTGTTTTGTTTTCTAAGGATTTTTATTCAAATGAGAACAAAAAGAAAAGCAGAATAATGATTCAGTTTGATTTGTTTTGTCCAGAGTTAAGATACAAAAATCCAGCTTGTTTTATCTCTTAGCCGACGAGGGACGATCGAGGATGGTTCATCAATCCCATTGGCCCCAATCCCTGGTGGACGGTGCTAGCTGCCACCATCCCGGCTCTACTGTGCACCATCCTGATATTCATGGACCAGCAGATCACCGCCGTCATCATCAACCGGAAGGAACATAAGCTCAAGGTACCCGAGCTTCAGACCCGAGGCTAAAACGGCAGCTTGCTAACCCTCTCGCTTAGGCTGAGCCTGGCTGTACCAGGAACTGAGCTGAAGAAAGTCTCAGAAGGCTTTTCCTTGCTTGCCTGTTAATAACAAAGGCTGGTTGGAGGTGAGACCAGATGGAGCATGTGGCATGATGTGGGGGGGACTTGGACTCCATTACTCTCCTCTCAGACGGGGTAGAGGGGGTGACCAGAGGCCCTGCTGGTCCCTAAATAGCTACATGTTCTGAATCAACAACTATACTGCTTTTCCTCCTAAGGTTTGGCTCAGGGCTTTTGGACCTCTGTTTCCCAGAGGCAGGAATTCTTCCACTGAGGTCCATTGTGAGGCTTCAAGGTGAATCTTGAGTTAGGGTTACTCAGGCTAGGGTTAGTTCTAACTCATGTATTAGTGAGATGCCACATGCCTTCCATCTCTATGGTAAAATCCAGATTTGGCAAGGATGGGGACGGTCTCCAGGAACTCAATAAAAGCATTGTCCTGTGGTCTCCAGGACGGTCACAGTGTGGCTTGCTTCCCGCCACTCTTCCAAAGAAGGGTTGAGTTGTGAATGTCTGAAACTCAATCAGAGGAAGCGAGGGGCAACTGTATAAAGACCAGATGTTGGCGTGTGTATATATGACAAGCTAAACCTCCCTTTTTCTTATCTGTTCCCTCCAAACTGGGAGGGTTGTAAGCGTTCTCGGGACTCTTTCCCCCTTCTGCTCCAACTGGCTTTGAGCCTGAAGCCTTTAGCTCACTGTTCCGTGACCTGCTGCAGCCAGCTCACTGACAGCGACCGTTTCCCCCACAGAAAGGCTGTGGCTACCATCTGGACCTGCTGATGGTGGCCGTCATGCTGGGTGTTTGCTCCATCATGGGCCTGCCTTGGTTTGTGGCTGCGACAGTCCTGTCCATCACACATGTGAATAGCCTCAAGCTGGAGTCTGAGTGCTCTGCTCCTGGGGAGCAGCCTAAGTTCCTGGGCATCCGAGAGCAGAGAGTCACAGGCCTGATGATCTTCGTGCTGATGGGCTGCTCGGTCTTCATGACGACTGTCTTAAAGGTAATCACTCATCGAGGGCCTTTGTGCCGGGTACCGTTTTGGAAATGCAGGGCTCCAGTATAGACATACACAAACCCCTGCTCTGGAAGAATTGATTCTTTTTTTTTTTTTTTTTTTTTTTTTTTTTTTTTTTTTAAGATTTATTTATTTGTACACAGTGTTCTGCCTGCATGTATCCCTGCAGGCCAGAAGAGGGTGACAGATCTCATTACAGATGGTTGTGAGCCACCATGTGGGTGCTGGTAATTGAACTCAGGACCTCTGGAAGAGCAGGCAGTGCTCTTAACCTCTGAACTATCTCTCCAGACCAGAAGAATTTATTCTTGTGGGTAAGACAGTTAAATGTGCTTAAGAAAACAAACATGGTAATTATAAAATGTAATAAGTAATCTGATGGACCATTGTCTTGCCATTTCCTTTTCTTTGAATAGCTCCCTTCACGTTAGAGATCCAGCCCAGGGCCTTCTGCATGCAGAGCACAGAGCAAGCACCGTGTTGCTGAGCTGTGTCCTGGCCCTTCTTACCCCTGGCTTTTTGTTGTTGAGACAGGTCTAAACGGCCCTGACTGGCTAAAACTCACCATGTAGACTTGGCTGGCCTTGAACTTGTGGCAGTTCTGACTGCCTCTGCCTCTTGATGGCTGGGATTGTAGATATTGTTCTAGTATGTTTTTTATTGTTGTGATAAAGACCATGACCAAAACAACTTGGGGAGGACAGGGTTGTTTCACCTTACACTTCCAGGTGACGGTGCATCGTGTAGAAGTAGAAACCATGGAGGAACGCTGTGTACTGCCTCACATTCCGGCACGTGCTCAGCTGCCCGGGGATGGCGCTGCCCACGGTGGGCTCCCACACTCGCCTTTAATCAAGACAGTGTCCCACAGGCAGTTCTTACTGAGACACCCTCTTTCCAGGTCACTCTGAACTTATGTCAAGTGGATGATAAAGACACCACCCAGCAGTGCTGCGGACTTGTCCACAAACTGGGACGTCTAGAGCTGGGGCAGCATAGAAACCCAATGTGGACTTTCTAACTCTGAGAGGAGTTATGTTGTTCTTATCACCAGGCAGACTGAGGGACTAGGGCTGTTGAATGCTCTGGATTTGGTTCTCAGCACTAGAGCAGCAGGCGGGTACTGATGCGGATGGAGGTAGGAAATCCTTCGTCACAGCAAGTTCAAGGCCAACTTTATCTAAGTTGAAAGACGTGATGTGACAGGAAAGCCACAGTCACCCGCCGTGGCCACCACTTTAAAAAGCACACAGTGTAACACCATGTTCTCAGCTGGTTTCCTCTCTGGTGCCCTCAAATCTTAGGTCAGTAAAAATGATTTTTTTTTCAGTTTGTGTCAAAATACACTAAGTTCCTGAGGAGGTGATATTGAATATAGAAGATTTAAATTACATCAGTGAAGTATGTGTGAGTGTGTGTGTGTGTGTGTGTGTGTGTGTCTGTGTCTGTGTCTGTGTCTGTGTGTACATGTTTGCACTTGACCACAAGCATGTACGCATGTGTGTGTACATGACAAGTGTGTGTATGCATGTGTGTGCATGTATATATGTGTGTGTGTGTGCACATGACCATGAGTGTGTGTATGCGTGTATATGTGACTACAAATGTGTGCAGGTATACATGTGTGTGTCCACATGACCATGAGTGTGTATGCATGTGTGTGTGCACATGACCATGAGTGTGGGCCTGTCCCATCTGTGTCCTCATATCTAGGGAGGAGGAAGACTGGCAGAGGGAGAGGCTGGAGGAGACACGAGGCCCATGACTTACTTATGGATAACAATTTCATTTCAGAATAAAATAATTTGGTCATCACCAGCTCATCCTTTTGTTTCTACTTTAACTGAAGGAGAAGTTTATGAAACTGTCTGTGGCTTTGTTTCACTTTCAAAATTAAAAATTTATAGAGATGGTACATGGTGGCGCACACCTTTTAATCCCAGCACTCAGGAGGCGAAGATGGGCAGGTGTCCATGAGTTCAAGGCCAGCCTGGTCTACATATTGAGCCAAGCCAGCCAAGGCTACACAGTAAGAGTCTGTCTCAAAAAGAAGAGTAGCTAACGGTAACCCTGCCGGTGCCCCATGCCATGTCTTGCCATGTCTTGTCTCCGCCCTTTCCTGCAGTTCATTCCGATGCCGGTGCTCTACGGAGTTTTCCTCTACATGGGAGTCTCTTCTCTACAAGGAATCCAGGTACCGTGTGGTCCAGCTGGGCCCTGGCTCTTGCCCTGTGTTCACCTGTCCTGGCCAGAGAGGCACAGTCCCCCAAGGGAGGCAGAGCCAGTTCCTGAGACAACTTCCTGTCTTGCCATCTAGCCAAGCAATGTCTTCAGATGTGGGGCACAAAATAGGTCGGGCTGGCGTGAGAGTCTTGGCCTCCATAATGACGCGGCTTGATGTCCCAGTTCTGGTCATTCTGACACAGTGGTTATTTGGCCTTAAACCAGGGACACTTTGCCAAATTCCCTGGACCAGGACCACCGAGGTGGCTCAGCAGGAAGGGCTGACTGCACCAAGCCTGTGAGGTGCTTACTACCAAGCCTGTAAGGTGCTTACTACCAAGCCTGTGAGGTGCTTACTACCAAGCCTGTGAGGTGCTTACTACCAAGCCTGTAAGGTGCTTACTACCAAGCCTGTAAGG